TAGAATTAAAAAAAAATAGTAATGAATTTAGTAAAATTAAAAAAAAATAGTAATGAATAGTAGCAAATCGTAAAAATTTAAACAAATTATAAAATATTCTTCAAAAAATTATCGTTTTTTTTTCTGCAGACGATTATAAAATCCAATTCATTAAAAATGCCTCAAAATAAAAATGCTATTTTTATTTTTTACTAATTAAGTTTAATTTTTATCAAAGTACTCATTAGTCAACTGCAAATATCGTACTTTCAGTGAACGCTGTAAGTTTTTATAAAAATATATAAAATTTTACTTTAATAAAAAACTTTTTTTTGTTTTCAAGTGGCTAATTTCATATTCTTTTAAGATAGTTTAAACTTTCTCATTGATCTAATTTGATCCATTTATCTTAACAGATTCACTTTCTGTTATGTTATGCTTCGTATAAAATATAAATTAATTAAATGTGATTTCAAATTAATATTCATGACATTAAATAAATGTTCATGACTGGCTAATATGTTATAAAAATTGTCTTCAAAAGTGTATATCAAATTAATAAAATTATTAATTTATCATGGTCTCGAATAAACTCAGCCCAAAGAGTAAAACATTTGTGAACAATTGGCTTGTTATGTAACAATATGGTTTTTAATGACAAAAACTAAGATCTTTTAGAAATTTTATCAGTAAGTTTAATAATAAAATATAAATATCTGTTTCACTTTAAGATATTTCAGTTTTTTCTTGAATCACTTCATATTTAATATAATTTATTTTGGCAATTTAGTTCAGATTATAATGTTTAAGTATAAGAGTAAAAGTGCATTTAAATTTTTTAGATGAAAGCTCCTTCAATTTTCAAACTTCTCTTTACTCTCCCTCCTGTTCTTGTCCTCTCAAGGATACTTTTAATTCGTCCTCTTCAGCTACTCCTTCCTGCTCCCATTTCTTCTTGAACAGTACTCATTCCGATTTAAACGACTACTCTCATGAGAAACAGTGGCTCAAAGTCGAAGAACGTTTCTTTAAATCAAATTGAAATAATTTTCTCTGTCGACTTGGATGAAGCTGACTTTTGTAAAACGTGCAGCGATCATATTCGTAAACGCAACGTTCCAAATCTTGCAGCCAATTATGGCTTTCGATATCCTGAGCAACCCTCCTGTTTGTCTGAGTTGAATGACTTGGAAGAGCGTCTCGTTGCTCTTCGTATCCCTTTCATGCAAATACGAGAGCTTGGTCGGGATCGTCAATATGGTATCAAGGGATCCGTTACGAACGTTCCTAACGACTTGCACAAATCGGCCGACTGTCTTCCTCGCAATGTAAACGATTCAGCCACAATCTACGTGAAATTGGAGAAACGTCTCTCTTTCAAATCGCATTTTATGTATCAATGCGTTAATCCTAATCGTGTTTACAATGCGGCTTTGTATATAATGAACAAGCCTTTATACCAATCACAAAACGTTAATATCGATTTGGAATGGCTCGAAAAATTTCGAACAGAATCGTTTCCTGAAGGTTCAAATGCTTTCGCTGACCTGAATCCTATCCCTTCGGACGAGAACGATGAGTCTGATATAGACGACGATGATTATGACGACCCATTCGTAAATCCCGCTCCAGCCGAGACGGTCATTAATAAACTCAATACCAACATTAATGCTGGATTGGCATTAGCACCTGGAGAAGATCAAATGCCTTTGTCAGTATTGTTTGATGATCTTGCAGAAGAGCTCTTTTACCCAAGAATCTACTGTGGTGATATGCGTCGTTTTACGAGAAAGAAACCTCCCACCTACTCAGAGATTGCTAGATCTGAATTGAGACGTTATGATCGTCGAGGTGCTACACCTCAAAAAATTTTGTACAGCCATCAAAAAAATTAACATAAACTTCTTTTAAGTAGTATACAAATTTGTCTTCGAAACAAAATTCCTACCGATTCCTCTTTGACAGCGCAACAAGTTCCAGACCAACAATGTTTACGTCAACTGTTACAAAAATCAGGCATAAAAATTCATGAAGACGATCAAGTGCAGTCCGGCTCACTGGGAAAACGAAAAAAATCGCGTGTGTGCTCAAATCCGACAATTTGGTATGCCAACACTCTTTTTGACATTGTCTGCTGCCATTTCATGTACCAATAATGCAAATACAAAAAATGCAAACACCAAAATTGCAGATACCCATGGGTAAACTGTACATCGGCATTAGACGATTACAATTTTTTTTTAATCTGCTTTTATTATATTATTTTTTTTTTCCATAAAATAAATTTTGAAAAAACCCGATCTATTAATGAATAGAAATTTGTTTATTGAAGAATTGAAACATTTTGACTTTTAAATAATGAAAATGATGAAAATTCGTTTTTTCCCCATAAGGCTTGAGTCAGACGGATGGAGAATCATAAACTTTAAATTTATAATTTTCATCATCTAAAATTTTAAGTAATTTTAATTTTTAGATGGCAAAGTCTGGGTTTTTTTTTTGCATAAAAGAACTTTTGAACGAATCAAACTACTAATGAACATAAATTTTTCTCTTAAAGGATGAAGCTATTTTAGCTTTTAATCAATTAAAAGGATGAAAGCTAGTTTTTGTGCCATAAAACTTGAGTCAGACTGATGAAGAATAATAAACTTTAAAATATTATAATAATTTATTATAATTTAATGATTAATTTTTATAAATGCTAATAATAAAATCCCCTTTTTAATATACACACAAATATTGTAACCATTTGTATAGCGTATTTAAGAACCCTCCAAAATTATTCTTTTCTTAGTTTTAAATATAATTTGGAGGATTTTCTGTAATAAACACTTTTAAAACTTAAGAAATTCCTATAGCTATAACCTTTAGAGTTCCCAATCAGTATCTCAAAGAAATTTGATATTTGAACATGCCTGGCTATTGTGCAAGATTAATATGATTCCTGTAGACAAATTGATTTAATTCAAACCCTTACAATGCCTATTTTTTCATTAAGTGAGTTCATTTTTTCTATTTAATCTAAATCACATACTGAGTATTATAGCAATTATGCTTGTTAACAATGGAAAGTATTTTCTTTTTCAATTAGAAGGAAAGATTATTTTGATTATTAGTCATTCAGCTTTTCATTTCCTTGAAAAAGGAATTTTTCTAATTATAATACTTTTGTACACATTCTGTACTGATTAAAGTAAAACAAATAAACAAAAGTAAAAACTACAAAAGTAAAATATTTATGTCTTTTATTTTTTTGAAATAATGACGAGACTTTTCTAATTATATTTCATTCAGTTTTTTTTAAATATTTCTTGATCATTTTGTTATTTTATGTCAATGCAACAACTCAATGTATAATAATTTTTTTTATTTGAGATCCTAATGGGGAGTGTTAGCCGAGTGACAAGAGCTCTAGTGCTCGGTGCCACAGATTTTGGTTTTGGATTCGAGTGTCGGCGGTGCAATGGATGTTTATAGTGGTTCGGAATCCACTTTAAGACATTGGTCGTGATCTCATGTGACTGCAAAGTATTGGGCGTAGGACAGGCCTTGGACAGACGGTCTTGGCCCATAAAGAAGCTGTTGTGCCACTATGATAATGATAATGATGATGAGATCCTGTTGATGCTATACATTCAGTAATATTTAGAAATTGGTTTTATAGCCAATTAAACAAAATGAATATCATTTCGTTTTAAAAAAAACAGACAAAAGCTAATTCTTCTGTTTCACAATAAACATTAACATCATTAGAATCATTGGGGCTGCAACTCTTGAAGAGACCTGACCTCTTTCAAGATTTTTTTCCATTCCACACGACTAGTTGCCCTTTGTTTCCAGTTAGTAACACCGAGTGTCTTCAAGTTCTCCTCCACTTGATTTCCCCATCTGATTCTTAGTCTTCCTCTGGCTTTAGATTTGCTGGAATTTTAGAGTCTTTTTGTTCTGTTTAACTCTATTCTCTCTACATGACCTACCCATTGAATTCTTCTTATCTCAATAATAATATCTAATTCCTTATAACAATCATATGTTTCTTTATTTGTTGTAATCTATAATAATTTTCAATGTGCAATATTTTTTTCATTTGAGATCCGATTGATGCTATATACATTCAGTAATACTTGGAATTCGATTTTATTGCCAATTAAACAAAATGAATATCATTTCGTTTTAAAAAGAACAGACAAAACTTAATTCTTCTGTTTTACAATAAACATTAACATAGTCATAATCATTGGTGCTACAACTCTTGAAGAGACCTGACCTCTTTCAAGATTTTTTTTCCATTCCACACGACTAGTTGCCCTTTGTTTCCAGTTAGTAACACTGAGTGTCTTCAAGTCCTCCTCCACTTGATTTCCCCATCTGATTCTTGGTCTTCCTCTGGCTCTAGATTTGCTGAAATTTTAAAGACTCTTTTTGTTCTGTTTAACTCTATTCTCTCTACACGACCTACTCATTGAATTCTCCTTATCTCAATAACAATATCTAATAACAATAATATGTTTCTTTATTAGTTGTGCCACTATGTTCTTGTTGTCTGTATAACTCTATTCGTTCTGTAATAATTTTAAATGTGTAATATTTTTTTCATTTGAGATCCTATTAATGCTATACATTCAGTAATACTTGGAATTCGATTTCATAGCCAATTAAACAAAATGAATATCTTTTCATTTTAAAAAGAACAGACAAAACCAAATAATTTTGTTTTATATTAAACATTAACATCATTGATGCTATAGCTTTTGAATAGCCCTAGCCTCCTTCAAGCTTTTTGCCATTCCACAGGACTAGTTGCCATTTGTTTCCAGTTAGTAATACTGGATATCTTCAATTCCACCTCGACTTGTTCTCCTCGTCTAATTCTTGGTCTTCCTTGCGTCTAGATCGGAGAAGTTGTTGTTGGAGTCTTCTTGTTGTCTGTATAACTCTATTCTTTCTACTTGACCTAGCCAATTCTTCCAGCCCAATGAATTTCCCTTCTCATTATCACCGTAACACTAACTAAGCCAATGAATATACCGGTTCTCGTTAGATCACCGAAGTCAAGCATCATTGGGCGCGGTCAGTACTTGGGTGGGTGACCACCTGGGAACACCGCGTGCCGTTGGCAAAATTTGGGACCTGAATGGCCGAGTGTCTAGCGCTCTGGTGCTCGGTGTCACAGGTTTTGGGTTCGAGTCCCGGCGGTGCCATGGGTGTTTGTAGTGGTTGGGAATCCACTTTAAGCCGTAGGTCCCGGTCTCATATGACTGTAAGAGCGTCACGGAGCCAAAGTCAGGCTTCTACCTACGGGTGCTCCATCACAACAGAAGCTGCTACCTTCCCCTTCAATCATGAGCACGTATGGGCCAGCCAAGTGGGATAAGAAACAACAACAACAACACTAACTAATCCCGTATAACAATTGTATTTTTCTTTATTTGTTCTCACTCTCCATTCCCATTTTCATATACTGCTCCAAAATTCTTTGTGTCCCTAGTCTCAACTACTTTCTCGTAGTCTATGTCTCACAGCCATACACAACAATTGGTGCGATAATAACTCTGTGTACAAGAATTTTACTTTCTATTTAGGTAAGATGATCTTAACAGCTTTTGTAGAGAGTAATAGCAGCGATTTCTTGCTGCTTTTCGTGCTCTAATTTCAAGATACATTTCATTTTGATCATTAATTTAAGCACCCAGATATTTAAACTAATTAACTATCTCATAGGTTTATCCACCGCTTTCAAAATTCTTCACACTTTGGTATATCTCCTTTTTTCTGATATTTAGTCTTTGAATTATTAACAGATAAACTTATTTCTTCTGAGGAGAGAAACAAGATCCAAAAAGCACTCGTCGAGTGCAGCTTGACTCCTGGCCAGCAGGATCAGGTTATCCACAAAAGCCAAAAACTGACAGGTTATGTTAAATATACTAGTAGTGCCTCTAGGGTTCACATTAATCTTCCTCATCACATATTCCAAATATCCTTATTCCATATATCTTCGTATATAAAACATTAACATACCTTACTATTATTTAAGCATTGACAATTTTAATTTAAAATTTTTATGTTCAAAATTGTATTATCTGTAATAGTAAAATGTTAAACTATTTCAATAAGCTAAAAAAATTTATGTTGATGGTTTTTTTTATTGAAAGTTTCGAGAAATCCTCGCATACCATACGAATCAGACGAAGCTTACAGAAGTAAGTAGCAAACAAATCAATGATAAAATAATAAACATCTCACTATTATATTATTCAATATTCTCCCTAAAAGATTTGAATAAATTTTGTTTAAATTCAATATCTCTAATATGCTTTTACTTTCCATTGCTATTTTAACATACCTACTATTATTTAAGCATTGGTAATTTTAATTTAAAATTTTTAAATGCATACTTGTTCATAATTGTATTATCTGTAATAACAAAGTGTTGAAAAATTTAATTACGCTAAAGAAATTCATGTTGCTATTTTTTTAATTGAAGTTTTGGAGAACTCCTCGCTTACCGCCAAAATATCAGACGAAACCTGCAGAATTAAATAGCAAACAAAGCAATGAAAAATTAAACAAATATTTACTCACTATTTTATTATTCAGTACTCCCGAAGTACTTCAATACTCAAAATTCCAAATATGTTTTCATTTTCCACTGCTATTTTAGCTTACCCTATTATTATTTAAGCAATGAAAATTTTAATTTAAAATTTTTATATGCAGGCATGATCATAATAGTATTATTTGTAATAACAAATTGTTTAACTATTTTAATACGCTAAAGAAATTCAAGTTGATGTGCCTTTTTTTTATTGAAGTTTTCGAGAAATCCCCACGCATCAAAAATTATCAGAGGAGGTTTACAGTAGTAAATAACAAAAAATCAATGTTAAAGTAATAAAGATATTTAAAGAAATATTTACTCACTATTATATTATTATTCAGCACTTCCCCAATAAAAATTTGAAGCAATTTTGCTTAAATTCAATATTTTGAGCATGCTTTTGTTTTACACTGCTATTTTAATATAACATGTTATTTTCAAATTTAATTATGAATCATCTCCCGAGGCGTTTTTATTTCCAAAGAAATTTAGAAGTTAATGAAATTTAAAGGTGCTCGTCAATTTTAGATACTTTATTCTGTCGTTTATCGAATTCATCATTTTGGAATTTGCTATTGATTTTTATTTCGTATTTTATTGCTTTTATCTTGTATATTATTGTTTATTATTATCGCATACTTCTCCAAATTTCGTAAAGTAATCTTTACAAGATTTATTAATTATTATTCATCTCTGTAAAAATATCGTTATAGTTTTATGATTAATAACCATTAAAATTTAGTTTTACATAAAAAGTAGCACATTCTGGTATAAATAATTATATGACAGAATAAAAACACATTCATGAAATATTTATTGGAACTTTTCTTTAATATTTATTTTGATTGATGACATTCAAATCAATACAATAACAAATGTTTATATAACCCTTTTTTTAAAATTTAAGTTATATAATGACCACCGGTCTTGAAAATCATCTTTAACAAAACAATATCTTATCTTATGGAAAGCTTACAATCCATGGAAACCTATTCATTTATTATGGCTGATCAGGTTAAAATCACTACAATAACAAAAGTTTATTACAAAACTTATTTTCAAATTTAAGTTATATAATGACCAGCAATCTTGAAAATTGAATAATCGAAATTCAAAAATCAAGCAATTGAAAAATTGAATTGAAAGATGAATCATTTTTATTAATACAATATCTCCTAATCCAAAGCACAAAAACTATCTATAGCAATCACCAAATCCCATACTCAATCTAACCGGAGAAAAATTCCGTCCACATTCAGAAACTATCCCTACGAAATACGCATTCGCTGAACCACCACCACTTAATCTGAAACTTATACCCCTTGTAAGCCCATACATTTATTTTAATTGATGAGATTCAAATAATTACAATAACAAACTTTTATTATAATACTTATTTTCAAATTTAAGTAATATAATGACCAACAATCTTGAAAACCATCTTTAACAATAAAATATATCCCAAACCAAAATGGAAACACAATAGCAATCACCAAGTCCCATATTCTGCCCATATATTTGAGAAAAATGTTTGTCCAAATTCAGAAACAATTTTTACGGAAAACGTATTATGTATACCACGACTTAATAAATGTTTGCAATAGCAAGCAAACAAAAATAATAACAAACAAAAGTTTATTATAATACTTATTTTCAAATTTAAGTTGCATAATGACCAGCATTCTTGAAAATAATCTTTAATTTTAGAATATCTCCCAAACCAAAGTACAAATAATATAAAAATCATCAAGTCCCATACACAGCCTAATCTGACAAAAATTCTATCAAAAATTCAGAAACAATTTCTACAAAAAACGTATTCCCTATACCACCACTTATTCTGAATGCTTACAATCCATGTAAACCCATGCATTTATTCCGCACAATCCATGTATATAATTCTGGTGAAATTCAAATAAGAAATGTATATTATAATGCTTATTTTCAAATTTAAGTTACATAATACCAAAATCTTCTTTAACAGTAAAATATCTACCAAACCAAATCACAAACACTACAGCAATCACCAATCCCGTACTCAATCTAATCTGAGAAAAAAAACTATTCAAATTGAGAAACTACTGCTACGAAAAAAGTATTCGCTGAATCACCACTTAATCTAAAAGCTAATAAGCCATGCAAACCCATGTATTTATTTTCATACATTTATTCCGTACAACCCATGCATTTATTTTGGCAAATGAGATTCCAATCAGTGCAATAACTAAAGTTTATTATAACTTTTTTTTTTTGAAAATTCAAGTTATATAATGGCCAACAATCTTAAAAATCATCTTTAATAATAAAATATTTCCCAAACCAAAGAACAAACACTACAGCAATCCCCAAATCCCATACTCCATCTAATCTGAGAAAAATTCCGTCCAAATTCAGAAACTATTGCTACGAAAGACGTATTCGCTGAACCCCCAACCACTTAATCTGCAAGCTTACAACCCATGTAAACAAAACTGCTCCATGGTCTCCAAAATGCCTTCATTATCTTAATTGCACGCCACCACTTCGTTTCGGGGGGATTATGCAAGCCATGCTCCTAAATGGATTTTAAGAGGAATCTTCCACGTAGCATTCAGATAAGCCGTTTACTGCAATCCGAATCATCGGGAATATGATTAGGAGGGGGTTTGGGTTCGTAGTCGTACATTAAGAGAGTGGGGGATTAGTGGTGGAAAGTTCCTTGTCCGCACAATGCAATTTGCATTCAAATGCTAATCGATTCACCATTTTTATCAGTTGGGTAAATCCTTTTGAAAGCCCATATCTAAATTGACTGGTTTGGATGGCTTGTTTTAAAGTATTCGACTCTCAGATTTGCTATGTATTGGTATAGCAAACAACGAATTTGCTTAAATTAGAGAATAATGATAAAATATGTCTGAATTCCTGGAGGAGTTTAAGTTGGTAACGATTCAATTCGGGAATTTATTACGTTATTGTCCAAGAAGCTATATTTATTTCTAACAAAATAAAATATTTCAACACCGCATCAAAATATAGTCAATAAAATGTATCTTAACAATTAAATAGATTTATTTATTGTAATAATATTTATTTTAGATTGTAGAAAACTCTAACATAATAAATGTTAATTAAATTAGAGAATAAGGATTAGAAAGGTTTGAATTCCCCGGGAATTTAAGTTAACGATTCACTTCGTCAATTGAAGATCTTTATTATGTTATTGTCCAAGAAGTGATATTTTATTTATACCAAAATAAATTGTCACCCAAACCAAATCACAAACACTATAGCAATCACCAAATCCCATACTCAATCTATTTTGTGAAATATTTTATCCAAATTCAGAAACTATTGCCACGAAAAACATATTCGCTGAACCACCACCACCACCATTTAATCTGAAAGTTTACAACTTATGTAAACGCATGTACTTATTTTCATGTAACCCATGTATTTTTTTCATACAACCGATATACTTATTCCATACAACCCATGTATTTATTCCATGCCACCCATGTATTTATTTTGGCTG